GGGGGGGGGGGGGGGGGGGGGGGGGGCGGGAGGGCCTCCAACTTTTTTTTAAAAATGGTAACCCTTATCATGAGATACATCATCGGGCGCGTCGCCAAAAACGCAGGTAAAAAATAGGAACCCTTTTGGGCAAGGAATAAAAGATGAAATGACGGAGGAGAATGAGATGCATCGGGGCTATATTGGGCGAGGAGCTTTCGCCAACGCGGCAACGTTGCGTTGTCGTCTTATCATCATCACTCGTTGTCCATTGATCTGATTATGAGGATATTGGCAATCACTTCGTTTACGTACCTACTGTTTACCCACGGTTCCAATAAATTATGTATCATTTTATCAGAGGTCAGTGTTTTTCGAGCGGCAAACGGGACACTAGCGTGCAGGACAGATTTACGCATACCCTCAAAGTTTAAATTTTTCCGCGGCAAAACATGTGTAATTGTAGAAAATTACAAACTGACGGAGTCCAATAATGAAAAAAGTGGTGATATTAGATTTCGGTGTGCAAACAAAACTTGTCCTTCCAGTGTTATCGTCGATGCAACTGGAGCACATGTTATACAGGGTGTACCGAAAGTCCGTCCCACCCTTGCTAACTTTTGAACGAATTGTAATGAAACTTTGGGAATGTTCCTATTTCAAAGGGGAGCATCTTTTGGGGGAGGGGGGTCAAAATTTTGGTCCCCCCCCCAGGGGGGGGCGCGGGGGGCCCCCAACTTTTTTTTCAAAGTAGTTTTCAAGTTTCAAAGTTTTCGTTACGTTTTTTTCAACTTTTTTTTCCCTATCTTGTGATACCTCTTTCGAAAGAGCATAAAAAACTAATAATTTTGGCACAAACCGCAGATCAATATCTTAATTTTTGACCCAGTTACGATAGGTCAAAGGTCAAATTTGGCCTATTTTCAAAAAATCATAACTCCGGCTCAAATTATCGTAAAGAAAAAAGTAAAACGGGAAAATTAGTTAAAAAAAACGAAATTTAAACGGTCAAAATTAATCACCTTAAATTTCGTTTTTTTTAACTTTTCTCGAAATTTGGGGACTTGCCAACGTAATGTTGAACTGATTTCGACCTTCCTGAGGTAAAGTGGAGGCAAATCTACGCGAAATTGGCTTATTTCCCGGGAAAATTGAATGACCTTTGAATTGACGTATTTGGGGGTCCGAGCCCCCCCTTAAAATTAAAACGAAGTGATTTCTGCAATTTTTCCTTAAAAGCGGACACAATTTGGTAAATTTTCCCGTTTTACTTTTTTCTTTACGATAATTTGAGCCGGAGTTAGGTTTTTTTGAAAATAGGTCAAATTTGACCCTTGACCTATTATAACTCGGTCAAAAATTAAGATATTGATCTGCGGTTTGTGCCAAAATTATTAGTTTTTTATGCTCTTTCGAAAGAGGTATCACAAGATAGGGGTTGCCCTTTGAAAAAAAAGTTGGGGGCCCCCCGCGCCCCCCCCCTGGGGGGAGACCAAAATTTTGACCCCCCTCCCCCAAAAGATGCTCCCCTTTGAAATAGGAACATTCCCAAAGTTTCATTACAATTCGTTCAAAAGTTAGCAGGGGTGGGACGGACTTTCGGTACACCCTGTATAACATGTGCTCCAGTTGCATCGACGATAACACTGGAAGGACAAGTTTTGTTTGCACACCGAAATCTAATATCACCACTTTTTTTCATTATTGGACTCCGTCAGTTTGTAATTTTCTACAATTACACATGTTTTGCCGCGGAAAAATTTAAACTTTGAGGGTATGCGTAAATCTGTCCTGCACGCTAATGTCCCGTTTGCCGCTCGAAAAACACTGACCTCTGATAAAATGATACATAATTTATTGGAACCGTGGGTAAACAGTAGGTACGTAAACGAAGTGATTGCCAATATCCTCATAATCAGATCAATGGACAACGAGTGATGATGATAAGACGACAACGCAACGTTGCCGCGTTGGCGAAAGCTCCTCGCCCAATATAGCCCCGATGACCAAAATTTTGACCCCCCCCCCAAAAAAAAAAGATGGTCCCCTTTGAGATAGGAACATTCCCAAAGTTTCATTACCCTAGCTCAATTCGTTCAAAAGTTAGCAGGGGTGGGATGGACTTTTGGTACACCCTGTATAGAGTGCAATGGTAAGGCTCACAATCATGAGCCGTGCTCAGCTCCTATTATTCAGAAGCAACAAATCAAAGTGTACCGAGCAAGACAAATATAATTTCTTCGACTTCTTCGATTCTTCTGACGAAAAAATTTTATCCAATTTTGAAGATTAAATTTTTTAACCATTTTTACTATTTTTACGCTCGACTCGTACAACAGCTTTTTCATATGGTGAGTTTTATTATTTATTTATTTTTTTAAATTCTGATTTCTTCCTCGCCCTATAATTTCCTAATTGGAACCGTAGGTAAACAGTGCGTAAACAAACTGATCGCCCATCTCCTCATAATCAGATCAATGGACAACAGGCGATGGTGATTCGACGACAACGCAACGTTGTCGCGTTGGCGAGAGCTCCTCGCGCCCAATAGCCTCGCTTCATCTCAATGCCCCTCCTTCATTTCGTCTTTTGCACCCCAAAAAGACCCGTCATTTCTCACCCGTCATTTGTCCACCCCCCCCCCCCCGGTTTTTGGGCCACCTCGCCTAATATTGCACCCACATCATTGGAAAAACATGAAAACTATAACTTTTGGCGCAAACCGTAGATCAATATCTTAATTTTTGACTAAGTTATGATAGATCAAAGGTCATATTTGACCTATTTTCAAAAAATCATCACTCCGGTTCAAATTACCGTAGAGAAAAAATAAAACGGGAAAATTTACCAAATTGTAAGCACTTTTAAGTAAAAATTACAGAAATCACTTCAATTTAATTTTAAGGGGGGTTTCGGACCCCCAAATTCGTCGGTTCAAAGGTCATACGATTTTCCCGCGAAATGAACCAATTTCCCCTTACTTTGCCTCAACACTGTCTTGATAAATCCAAAATTAGTTCAACATTGCGTTTTCAAGTCGCCAAATTTCGAGCAAAGTTCAAAAAAACGAAATGATTGAAGACAATTCAATTCAACCGCAATTCATTTTTTTTAAACTTTGCCCGAAATTTGGGGACTTGAAAACTCAATGTTGACCGCAAACGCAATGGACCGTATGGGGGACTGTACTGCAACAGGTTTAGCAATCATGCGGACCCCAGCTGGTAGCCCCTGCCTCAAAGGGGGTTTTGGAGCTGGTCACCGGCTTATAGGCGCATGAACCACCCAGGGAAGTGGGCTCTTAGTCGTAGTGAAGGCAACCAATCTAGGAGAGCGGAAAATCTAAAAAAGCGCAAGATAAAGTTGTTCACAGAATAGTTCAGTCAAAAGTCAAGAGCCTCATAACAAGAAAGAAATAAATGAAACGTTAATGTTCGGGTCGGACAAGAACGTGTAATTTAAAATTAAGGAAACTCACTTGCACGTTCTTTATACCGGTCGGACGCGTTTCGGTCTCATTGCGAGACCATCATCAGCGACGGTGTCGCTGACCGGTATAAATAACATGCGAGTGAGTTTCTGTCAATTTAAAGGAAAATGAAGCCTGGGAAAGCAACTATAATCGAATCAACACCTACCTACCCAAGTAGCATTTTTCAAAGTTAAAGTTGCAAGAAGTTGAAACAATATTGGTTGATAACAATATAAGTTGCAACTTAGTTGCAACTCTCAGCCAACATTTGGTCGATAAGTGCCGATTTTCGGCGATCTGATCGGAAGAAAAGTCGCAACTTATAGCAATTGAATTGCATGAATCTTGCAACTTATCGACGTTGCTCAAATCATTCCTGCTAAAAATGACCATGTTGGTAACAAGTTGGTCTGGCCCAACATGGTAGCAACAGGGTGAATGAAACCTGTTATCATACATGATATCAACATGCTAGCACCATGATATCAACATGATACCAATATGATATCACACACTGAAAAAAAAAGTTCCAAAATGCCAAAATGCTTAAATTAAGGCGCGCTGCACGTTCTTAGGCATAATTTTCATCGCGGACATCAGAGAAGTGCCGTTGAGAGAACCCGACAACCAATGCTCGCCAGAATTAGGCCGCGCTGCGTCCGAGTCCCCAAGCGGTCACCCATCGAAGTACCAACTACGCCCGACGTTGCTGAACTTCGGTGATCGCCCGAGTTTCGCTACTACTCCGCCACGGTCGCTCGCGTGGGGGAGGTGGCTAATTTAGCACTAATAAACGTCCCCAGATCTGGTTCAATGATTAGAGGCAATGATATTCTTGCAATTGTGTACATCATTCAATTTCACAATGAAGGATAGGGGACTTTGGCGGCTAGGAGTCGCAGAGCGACAGAGAGCGCTATAAAAGCGACTTTATTCATACATATAAAACGCAATGTTGAACTAATTTTGAACTTATCGAGACAACGTTGAGGCGAAGTAAGGGGAAATTGGCTCGTTTCGCGGATGAATCTATGACCTTTGAACTGACGTATTTGGGGGTCCGAATCCCCCCTTAATATTAAATTGAAGTGAATTCTGTGATTTTTATTTAAAAATGCTTACAATTTTCCCCTTTTTTTTCTTCTCCACGGTAATATGAACTGGAGTTATGATTTTTTGAAAATTGGTCAAATTTGACCTTAGACCTATCATAACTCGGTCAAAAATTAAGATATTGATCTGCGCTTTGCGCCAAAATTCTTGGTCTTTCCAATGATATATCGCAAGATAGGGGCTATCATTTGAAAAAAAAAGTTGAGGGCGCCCCGCCTTCCCTAAGGGTGGGACACAGATTTAGACCCCCCTAGAAGTTCCCCTTTAAGATAGAAACATTGCAAAGTTTCGTTTTTCAGTCTCTACAAATTCAAAAGTTAACGGGGGGAGGGGGGGTGGGCGGGTACGGACTTTGGGAGCATCCTGTGCATACATTTATTGGCAATATTTAAAAAAAAAAATAAAAAAAACACACACAACAACTGTGGCCTGAATACGAAAAGAAATGGATAAAACCATATATAAACTGCACTACATGTGCAAAAAGGGGCCGGCCGCTCAAAATTTTTTTTCAATGAATGTAATGTAAAAATGCAGTTTTTTCTTCACATTTACACTGCTGCTTTAACCACGTTAAATATCACGGAATCGTATTTTCCTCAGGACAACATCCGCTCAACCCTAAAATTATAATCCTACTGCCGTGATAGTGAGGAGAGCAGTAGTTAGTTACTGTCACAACAGCTGCAAGTGACATTATTTTTCCGGAGAGCCGATGAAATCAGAGCTTTCAACAGTTTGGGTGCGTAGTTTATTTGTTAAAGCACCCATAGATAAATGTGGTAAAACAACAACAAAAACGGACTAGTTCAGCATATCGAAACATATGTAGGTACCTATTTTTTCACTTAGAATATAATTTACACCTCAGGGAGTCGACATTTATCGATTTGTTTTGTCAATTTTTTCGATATTATATGGAAAATTGATGATTTTTGTAATTGGAATTAGTTATTATTGATTCTCGAAAAATGAATACACCTCAAATAGTGGGGCCGATAAGCATAACAATCGTGCACTTCTGGAAGAAAGCATGAAAATTTCAGGGATTCGTCTCTACCCTATAGACATTCGATTCAGACATAGACCCCAAAAATCTGAGCCCCCCGGGGGGGCAGGGGGGCCCCCAAATTTTGAATTTTGAATAACTACTGAACGGCTAATGTTAGCGTAATTTTCTTTAAGCAGGACACTAGGAAATTTTATCAGGAACAAAAATGGTTCCTATGAATTTTTCTGTGGGATCGATATTTAAGGCGTGAAACGGGAAAAACCATCGGGGGACGGGGAGCCGGCCGTTCTGAGGCAGATCCGCGCGCTGCGCTGTTTGCCCGGGACGCGCGCGGCGGCGCAGTACGGTGTTACCGACGAAACAACCGCTTGTCTTGGTTTAATCTCAACGATGCGCAGTTTTAAAAGTATTGTGAATATATCGTACTACCTATAAAGCCTTAAAATGGGGCTTAACTTATGCAGGTAATATATGTATACAAGCGAGCGCACGGCAACAGAAAGAGAAGGGGTTAAGTGCTGGAGTTCCGAATTGTTTTGTTGTATCGGTTTGTCAAGTTTTATTACAGCATCCGAGATAACTGCATCAGACATCAGTTGAACGGAATAAAATCTGAGGCACAGTTGTCTCGGGAAGGGGGGGGGGGCTAAAAGTCACAAATCTTATTTGTGTACCACGATGACCTGAAAAATGATTTTAAAGTGTTTTTCTTTCTCTTTCTCTCGGTGCTGCGACATCAGGATGGTATCTGAATATGTTTACTTAAGACAGGGAGCCTAATTTTGTAAACAATGAGCATACATAAAAACATGCTTATTCTCCTCTCTTTCAGGAACATTTTGGTACATCATTGCTACGTATAGGCATTTTTTAAAGAGGACCAAAACCACCTTCAAAACTTGCTCCAAAAAAACGGCAAAAGAATCTTGAGAAAGCTTGATAGGGATAAATGACCCCCAAAAAACCTTTGTTGGACTGCCTCTTGTACAGTACAAAGAATATTATTAAGTAATAACTAGCCGCCGTATCCGCTGATCTGCCAAAACGGTCCATTTGAGTGATAGGAAGTCGCGCCTAAGTATACTGGGAATCTATCCTGCTCTTATGTCAGCGCATCATAGGTACGATATTCCGCAATCTCGGTAATTTTGCAACTGATCACTGATTACAGATTTTGACTGATTTTTTGATATTTTGACGATAAATTAACCTTTTGATAATCTCTAAAGCTAATTCGATCAGTGTTATAATGTACGATAAAGTTTAAGGTGTACGTTTTGTGCATTGCATATTTTGCAAGTCCCGTTTCTTGAAAATTGTCTCCGACATACTTACCTAGAACTCTTCCATGAGCTCCATACAAATCAAAAATCGGTACGAGATTTGCGGGTTGAAAAAGAAGAAATGCAATGAATTTCTTCCTGAGGCCTGGTCCTTCTCAGAGGTTCTTTAAAGAATCAGAACCTGCATGATAAATAAATTTCCTCCTATATTAATATTTTTTTCAATACAAATGTTACCAACTCCACTCTAAATTCCATACAACAAAATGTAAGATAATATACATGGATTTTTTTTACTGCTCATTCCATTTTCTATGTGTCGTGGTAAGTACCAATAATATCTTCAAGGATGACTCGATGAAAAGAGGCGATAGTATTCAGATATCTTCTTTTTTATCATTTATTTAATGTATTGTTCTATTTTTTTTTGAAATATGCATATTTGTTGAATAACTGAAAAAATGGGGAGTTCATGAAAATGGAAACTTCTATTGACTGGCTGGAGGGAAAAAGAGGAGAAAAGAACATTGTCGGAATGTTCCGTATGAATCAGTACCTATGCAATTGCGAGAAACCAATGAACATGAACGAAAAACGATATTTCCTTCATTTTGAAGGAAGCCATTTTGTGGAGCATTTTGCAATCATTTTGTGGAGCCCCCCTCCCCTCCCTCCTCACTCCTCAATTAATGTCTCTACCAAGTTTTGCAAAATTCATGGTTATGTAAGCAGCTCGTTGTCTCATTCGCCGAAAGTAACATGAAAAATAAGCTAAAAATAAGTTACGAAGGATCCGCCATTTCCAATAGTCATGAAAAAGTGGGTCAAAATCGTATTAAAACTTGTTATTTCGCTCTAATATCTTAGAAAAATGTAATACTGTACAAAACTTACGTAAAGAAAGGGTAATTTACTCTGTAATGAGGTCGGAAAAGCTCTGCATTCAGAGAAAACAAGACGCGTGATGCGCGATGACCGATCCCTCCTATTGACTCGGCGCTCTCACATTGGAGTATTTCGCTTTTGCTTGTTTTTATGTATTACTAATAAAAAGTAGAGCTTATATTACTGAGGAAAAGTATTTAGGCAGTACGGTAAATTCATTATTATTTTTAAAACTGCGCATCGTTGAGATTAAACCAAGACAAGCGGCTGTTTCGTCGGTAACACCGTACTGCGCCGCCGCGCGCGTCCCGGGCAAACAGCGCAGCGCGCGGATCTGCCTCAGAACGGCCGGCTCCCCGCCCCCCGATGGTTTTTCCCGTTTCACGCCTTAAATATCGATCCCACAGAAAAATTTATAGGAACCATTTTTGTTCCTGATAAAATTTCCTATTGTCCTGCTTAAAGAAAATTACGCTAACATTAGCCGTTCAGTAGTTATTCAAAATTCAAAATTTGGGGGCCCCCCTGCCCCCCCGGGGGGCTCAGATTTTTGGGGTCTATGTCTGAATCAAATGTCTATAGGGTAGAGATGAATCCCTGAAATTTTCATGCTTTCTTCCAGAAGTGCACGATTCATATGATATTTTCCACTTATCGGCCCCACTAAAAAGGACGAAAGCATATCGATTTTCACATATTTGCACTCATGGAATTCATTTTTAAAGTCAACGAGTGAATATATCGACCCGGTATATCGAGTTTCTGCGATTTTTTACGGCAAATCTGTGATTTTTCGGAATGTAAATGGGGTGCTCACTTTCAATGCTTGAATGAATAGGTAAAGCATCGGACATGGCTAAACTTCTTTGCATTGAAATATGCTAAAAATAACAAAATCAACACAAATTTAGTGCAATTGCTTGTAAATATTGATTCAATTTCTTCTGAATAATATAACGGGATTTACTATCGGTGATTTGGTTATTACAGCCCCAAAATACCTTTAAGTTGACTTTATTCTCCAGGAATTCAACAAAAAAAAAACTGTATATTTTGGCTGAAATTACTCAGTAAACTGACACAACAGTAAAATCCTTTAAGCTGATGAATTTTCGCTTGTGGCAGATCAAAAAATTTAAACTCACTCGGGTGGCATTTCGGCCAATACTGTGACAATATTTTGACAGCTCCAAATCAGTAACTAATAAATACTGACATAGTCTTGATATAATATTAAATTAGAATACATCAGCATTATATGAATACTGACACTACTGACGTGTCAGTACTATTGTAGTATTATATCAATATTCTGTGCTATGTGAGAAGGGGGGTTTTATTTTCGTCACGTGCAGTCCAAGTAACGTGAATTCTATGTGGTAACGTCGAACGTGCTTAGTCTAAAATTTAAAAAGTTTCTCACCTGAACATACGAAAGATTTTGAGCGGCTGACTCTTCAACCTGTAGTAATATCACAGAATAGATTCCAAAGATATAAGAATATATGCTCAGCATGTCGCAATTTTTTAATTAAAATCACAAAATCAAGAAGTTAATCTCCGGATCACACGTTGCACTTTTTTCACTCCTTTGCACGGTTTATACGGTAAGCCGTTATTATTATGACGAAATGTTATACCTATTTAGATTGCAAGCTGCGGGATTTGGTTCAACAGCTTTGTATATATGTGCACTACATTTTAGAAAGTCTATGGTGGCTAGCAAGTTCGCGATTTTTATAATCGGGTTTTCCGTAAAGGGGCCATGAACGATTGTTATTAAAACAAAAATAGGTTCTTACGAGATCAAAAAGTAAAAACCGATCAAATTCTACCAACATGCTTAGTATGTTTGCACTCTTCCACGAAACGAACACAGGAAGTGACGAGAGGATGAAACTAGATTTTAGTGATCAATGGTGCTTAAGATCAAGACACACATGCCGGTAAACCCAAAGTTGTTACCGTGTAATAGTGACGTTTACCAATGAGTTCATTTCAGACACTCCCTTTTACAACTGCACCAGAATTACTGACCTCAAAACCCGCGGCGTGCCTACTGGACTGTCATAGTAACGAGGAAAACCTGGCACATGGTGCTTGCATTTACAATCGCGATTATGGTGGCGTCGAGTCGACCGCTTCATTTATTCGCGAACAAGCGTTTTCAACGGATGGCGCGGCTATTTTTAATACGCAAGCGTTACGTTGTAGTTTTTGAAAAGTTCGAAGTTACCTCCGCTCGCCGATCCGCTCGGAAATCCAACAACCTAAAGATAGCTCCGACCGTGGTTGCTTCACGCCGCGCCGACGTCCGGCCGAACCGGGGAGCAATAAATTGCCTCCTACATCTCAGTCATCTGTGAAGAACTGAAGGGGCCGAAGAGTAGGGGAAAAGACCATCTCTACGACTCGGAACCATGACTGTACATCCGTCTTGCAGTATTCCACTTATTCCTTGCGCCTACCGTGGATTTTCCGCTGGTCGATAATCATACCCATCGCACTCTTTTTCGGGACGGTCTTGTCTCCAGGAAATAATCGATTTCGTAGATCGCAATTGAAGTGCTTGAGCACCGGTAAACAGGTAGAATATCCCAGCTAACAGTAAAATATTCATTGGATAATCCAGTGATGTCAACGGCAAACGTATAATATCATATGATTATCCAAAATATCCTACGAATATACCTAATCTATTGAATCCAAGACATATGGCATCCCACTAATGTTGGAGTAGGTAAATCTGCTGTAGTGCAGTTTGTACAGGGTGATCGAAAAGTCCCTTCCACCCCCTCTAACTTTTTATATAATTGAGGTAAAGATTTGAAACTTGGGGGATAATCCTAGGTCAAAGGGACCTTCTTTTTGGGCCCCCTAAAATTTGCAGGGGCCCCCCTTGGGGGAGCAACGGCCCCCAACTTTTAATTTTCAAATGGGAAGACCCCCTTTGTGATAGCTCGTTCGAAAGAGCATAAAAAAAGAAAACTTTTCGCGCGAACCCGAAATCAATATCTCAAACCTTTTCAAAATGGCGGCCGGTTAAAGTTCAAAATGGTCGAAAATACACACCGGTTATTTGTCGACGGATTTGCGTGGAAATCGGTATGTAGGGGTATTTTGACACGAGAAAAATGAATTTGACGTTAGATTTTCAAAAAAACCGAAATTTCCAAAATGAGTGAGCCTGAGTGAAATTCCCATGAGAAATTTTTAGCAGGAGTAGTGTAAAAGTTAATTTCAGTCACGTCAAACAAAATTTGTGTCTTCTGGTTCATTTGTCCTCTCCTAAAATTTAAGGCATGTAGGAGGGTAACAGGAGTCTCTTCTAGCCGGCAGTTCAGTTCTAGTTCCTCACAGTGTAGTTCTTAGACCCACAACGCTTCAGTTACTTTTCTTGGATAGGAACTTGTCAGCGCTTTACTCCACCGTAATCAGCCTTGCGCCTCAAGTTGTTTTACTTAATTTTTAAAAATGTATCATCCTAAACTGAGACTGGCCAAAAAATGTCCTGAAATATAATTCTTCTTGATGAGTAATAAGTAACACTGAAAGTTCTACGTAAGCATTTATCCAGAAGGAACATTTTTTGGGGGCCGTTTTTCAATTATCAGATTTGAGGGGATTTTGCCGCAACAGTTATAACATTATTTTTAACCACTTTAATAGTTTTATATATATTTAAATGGCGTTTTCTTAAACCTCCATAAGAGGGAAATCACCTTCTGGCCAATGAAAATTAAAAATGATTCCCCTTCAAAAATTAAGGAGGGGTAGTCGAGTTACCCCACGACGTTGGGTAACTGGGTCAAAAAATAGGACATTTTTGAAAATTTGTGGGAAAAAATTGAAAGAAGAAATTCGACTCTTGACTCATTCTACATTTAGGAGGTCGAGGTGTCTATGGTATCTATGGTGTGTGGTATGGACAAGGTGTCGCGAGGTCGACGAGGCCTACATTAGTCGAGGTGTTATTTGTACTAAAAAAAAAATTAAAAAAGTGGCCTCTTTTGCCAATATGATGCGATGGGGGAAAAATACCTAATGTACCTACCTAGTTGAAATTTTAACTTTTTTTCCGAACTCTTGCCAAGTTACCCGACTTCACCTCACAGATTTTCTCCTTTTTTCCCTTATACAGGGTGATCCAAAAGTCCCTTCCACCCCTTCTAACTTTTTACCTAATTGAGGTCAAGATTTGAAAATTGGAGGATATTCCTAGGTCAAAGGGACCTCCTTTTTGGCCCTCCTAAAATTTTCAGGGGGGTAACGGCCCCAACTTTTAATTTTCAAATGGGATGACCCCCTTTGTGATAGCTCTTTCGAAAGAGCATAAAAAAAGAAAACTTTTCGCGCAAACCCGAAGTCAATATCTCAATCCGTTTCAAAATGGCGGCCGGTTGAAGTTCAAAATGACCGAAAATTCACACCGATTATTTGTCGATGGATTTGCGCGAAAATCGGTATGTAGGGGTATCTTGACACGAGAAAAATGAATTTGACGTTAGATTTTCAAAAAAACCGAAATTTCCAAAATGGCCGCCGTTTACAGTTCAAAATGACCAAAAATTGATTTTTTTAGAAATCTATGTTCAAATTTGTTTAGGGGAGACCGGGGCTATGTTGACCAGATTTTTTGAAAACTTGTGTCTGAAGAAACAGAAGAATAGAATGCCATTTCTTTAATGCTCTAATCCTTGAGCATACAGTGTAAAATTAAAATCAACTGAAAACATTGTACAAAATACTTTAATTTTGTGAGTTTCATGCGTTTTTATAAGAAAATCCATTTTGGTCAGCATAGCCCCTGCTTGGGGCTATATTGGCCACCCCCGGGGCTAAGTGAGCCACCTGTAAGGAAGCTATGTTAACCTTGTTCAGTTGATTGTAATTGCACTTAAAAAGCTTAGTATTATGCCCTTACACTTATCTTTCGTAATGTTTGTAAAACT